TTTTAAAAGGTACTGGTTCAATATGTGTTGAAGGATCATATATGGATGCTAGCTTTCTAAGTGATAGCAAACCACATATACAAAATGCGAATAATATTTATGTTGGAATTCCTCTTAATTCTATGGGTGTGGGTTGTAGAACCTACAAATGTGAGTTACTATTTTAAGAATATTCCTCAGGTAATTATCTTCTAAATACACAATTTTAACCCTCCCTCTTGGATTGGTCATTTTTGAGTATAGGTTTTGACATGGTCAAAACTATTGTTTTAGACGAAGAAAAGCAAGTTTACTTTCTTCTCTTTCTTTTTTTTTTTTGTTCCTTGCTCATTTTCTTGCCTATCTCTTGATTTTTTAAATTTTATGTTAATGTTGAGCTCTGTTTTTAGAGTGGAGGGGGCACTGTCCCAAGGATTCAAATTTTTGTTCTAGTATTTTCAAGAGCTAATTACGGAGATCTGTAAGTTTTCAGTTTTTGGTTTTTTTAAGTTGGCATGATTTGTGGGATTGTGTTCTCATTGCTCTTCTGGCCTGGTATGTAAGTGACCACAAGCACTACTTTCTTCTTTTTTTTCAATTTTAATTAAAAAAATATTCCCCAGTTACATGCAAAAACAATTTTTAACATTCATTTTTAAAACTTTGAGCTCCAGGTTCTCTCTCTTTTTCCTCCCCAGTGCCCATCATTGAGAAGGCAAGCAGTTTGATATAAGTTATACATGTGTAATCATGCAAAATATATCCATAATAGCTGCATAGTGAAAGAAAACATAGACCAAAAAAAAACCCTCAAAAAAATAAAGTTAAAAATGTATTTCTCTAAAAAAATTAAAAAAAAATTCCTCAATCTGTACTCAGACACCATCAGATATTTCTCTGGGGATGGATAGTATTTTTCATGAAAAACCCTCCTGAGTTGTCTTGGATCATCGTATTACTGAGAATAGCTAAATCATTCCTTGCTGAATATATTACGTTATTGTTATTAGTACACAGTATATTTCACTTTGTAACAGTCAGTGCAAGTGTTTCCAGGTTTTTCTGAGAACATCCTGCTCATCATTTCTTATAGTACAATAGTATTCCATCATAATTACATATCACAACTTGTTCAGCCATTTGCTAACTGATGGACATCCCCTCGATTTCTCATTCTTTGTGCCCAGAAATGAGCTGCTATAAATATTGCTGTACATATAGGTATATATTTTTTTATTTCTTTTGTGATACAGTCATAGTAGTGATACTGCTAAGTCAAAGGGTATGCATGCTTTTATAGCCCTTTGGGCATACCTCTAAATATATCTATAGAATAACTGAATCAGTTCACAACTCTAACAACAGTGCATTAAAGTCTCATTTTTCCTCTATCCCCTCCAACATTTGTCATTTACTCTTTCTGTCCTATTGGTCAATCTAAAAGGTATGAGGTAGTACCTCAGAATTGTTTTAGTTTTCATTTCTCCAATCAATAGTGAGTTAGAGCATTTTTTCATATGGCTATTGATAACTTTGATTACTTCATCTGAAAACTGATCACACCTTGTGATCATTTATGAAGTGGGGAATGGCTCTTATTTTTATAAATGTTGACACCGTTTTTCTTCACAGTTATTGTTGCTAACTGTATTTCCCTCCATCCTACTCCCACCCTCATTTGCTTCTGACTACTGCCTCCCCCAATCTGCCCTCCCTTCTATTACCCCCTCTCCTTCTCTTTTCTGCTTCCCCTCTTACTTTCCTGTAGGGTAAAATAGATTTTTATACGCAATTAAGTGTGTATATTATTCCCACTTTGAGCCAATTCTAAGATTCACTCACTCTCCCTTATCTCTCCCCTCTTCTGCTCCACCGTAAAAACTTTTTCTTGCTTCTTTTATGTGGGATAATTTACCTCATTCTGCATCTCTTTCCCTTTCTCACAGTACATTCCTCTATCACGTCTTCATTTTATTTTTTTAGATATCATCCCTTCTTTTTGTTTTCCTATTAAACATATTTTCACACTAGTCATGTTGTAAGTAAGAATTGGAATCAATAGGAAGAACCACCAGAAAAAGGAAACAAAAGACAACAGAACAAAAACAAATAGCAAATAGTATGCTTCCATCTGCATTCAAACTCTGTAGTTCTTTCTTTGGATGTGGATAGCATTTTCCATCACGAGGCCTTTGGAGATGTCTTAGATCCTCACATTGCTGAGAAGGACTAAGTCTATCATATATATATATATATATATATATATATATATATATATATATATATATATATATATTCCTTCTAATATCCCTAATAATGAGAAAAGTCTTATGAGTCACAACTGTCATCTTCCCATGTAGAAATGTAAACAGATTATCCTTATTGAGTCCCATAAGGGACTTCCCTTTGCTGGATTTCCCTTTGCTGTTTACCTTTTCATACTTCTCTGGAATCTTATATTTCAGTGTCAGATTTTCTATTCAGCTCTGGTCTTTTCATTAAGAATGCTTGGAGGTGCGTGCGTGTGTGCAGACCGAACTGGACTGGCCTATACAGCGGGGAGCCGAACCGAGTCCAACAGAGCCCGTCAGGCTGGCCCTCCGGCTCTCCTGGGGCACACAGCGGCCGGCGGGAAGCCCCCCAAGCTGCCCTGGGCCGTCGACCCAGACGAGAACCAGGGGAACATCCACGCCGACAAGCGCAGGGGTGCCAAGCCCGCTAGTATGTGCACTGTGCGGGCGTGCTGCATACCAAACGTGCGGGCCCTGGGCCTTGGCCCGGTCCTGGGCTTGGCAGCCGCCCTGGCGCCACAAAAGCCTAATAGCCTCAGGGTGGTCTCGCTCCTCAGAGAGGTCCCTGTCCAGGTGGAGCAGGGTGTCGTCCCGCCCTGGAATGCCACCAGTAAGTAGCCAACTTTCACTATTCACGCGGATGAACCCGAGGTCGACCCCAGGAAGAAGCCTTCCCCCTCAAAGAAGGTGGACCTCGAGGATGAGGCGCTGGGCTTCCACTCGACCATGTAGCTGCCCGAGACCAGGAAGCCCCTGGTGCCCCTCGATTATCTGGTGGACTGAAAATTTGAATTCCCCCTTACTATGGACATGTCAGTGGTGCTGGAACTGGAAGACAAGCCACCAAATGTCAACGAGGTGCCTGACTACCATGAAGACATCTCTCTGTACCTTAGGGAAATGGAGGTTAAGGGTAAGCCCAAGGTGGGCTACGTGAAGAAGCAGCCAGACATAACCAGCAGCATGCAAGCCATCTTGGTGGACTGGCTGCTGGAGGTGGGGAGAAGTACAAGCTCCAGAGTGAGACTCTTCACTTGGCCTTGAGCTACACAGATTGGTTCTGTCCTCCATGTCAGTGCGGGGGAAGCTTCAGCTGGTCGGCAGTGCTGCCATTCTCCTGGCCTCAAAGTTTGAAGAGATCTCTCCCTGCAGAAGCGGCCGAATTTGTGTACATCACGGATGACACATGTACGAAGAGGCGGGTCCTAAGAATGGAGCGACTGGTGCTCAAAGTACTGTCTTTCGACCTCGCCACCCCAACAATCAACCAGTTTCTCATTCAGTATTTCCTGTAGCAGGCCAATTCTAAAGTGGAAAGTTTAGGATGTTTCTGGGAGAGTTGAGTTTAATTGATGCTGACCCATACCTGAAATACTTACTGTCAGTGACTGTGGGAGCTGCCTTTCATATAGCCCTCTACAGGATCACTGGCAAAAGCTGGCTTGAGTCATTAATCCAACAGACAGGATACACCTTGGAAAGTCTTAAGACCCGTCTAATGGACCTCCACCAGATCTACCTCAAAGCGCCACAGTATGTACAGCAGTCTATACGGGAAAAATATAAGATGGCAAAGTATCTTGGTGTATCCCTCATCAACCCTCCCGGGACACTAAACTTATAGTGAGCCGAGACTCTGAGTTGTAACTCCAGCAGAAGCCATGCTGGACAACTTTTATCATGGGCCCAGGTTTCTTCACAAAGAATCACTTCACAAAGCACAAGTTGTGGTCGATTACAGATTATGAAGTACCTTTTTTGATTTTTTTTAATTTTCAATGTAAATCTTTTCTATGTGCAATTGTCCTGCATATGTAGCTGCAGATTTAAGTACTGTTGTTTATGCATAGTGAGTATTAACCAAGCCCATACCTTAGGATTAGAATTTGGAGACCTCGATGGTTGGCCTCTGACAACTGAAAACTGTGGTCAGAACCTGGCTGGCTCACAGGAGTGTTTGAACATGAACAGCATGGTACAGGACAGCCCAGTAGAACGGCTTTCCAGGATACAGTTTAGAATGTTGGCAGCCCTCACCGTCTTGGCTGGCATGTTTTCTAAGATTGGCGTGGCTCAGGAGAGCATCAGCACCTGAGCTCAGGTGTGCTCTTCCAGGGCAGGGTGATGGTAGGGAATAGTGTTTCTAGAGCAAGTCCCTGCAGGCAGGCCATGTGTGTGCCATCTGTCAGTGCTGTGGTGGTATTTTGCCTGCTGCCTGTGCTGCCAGAACAGCTCTTGTGGTGTAAAATAGATTGAGATTTTAAACAGAAACCATGTGTAGCCCTTCTTCTTGATAATGCACACCACTCATGGACCCTGATGACCCAGAGGGAGCTGCTGATGGGCCGAAGGGTGTTTCTCAGGCTGGTCCCTACAGATTGAAAGCCTTTTTTGCAGGGTTAGTGACATTGACAAAACCCAAACAGAAGGGAGGAAACTTCAAGTATCCTTCATATTAATAATGGATTGTATGTATAGTTAGCAACTAGCAAGACCCAGGGCCTGACTACAAATTAGGATCTGATGTGGGATAGAAACAGGCCCCATTTTTCAGGTAAAAGAAATATTCTATGACATTAAGTGATGACTCAGTGGCCCAGCCACTCCGAGGAGGTCTGTTCATCAGACCATTCCACCTGCCTCTCTGGGCTTTCCCCTCAACTGTCTACAATCACAAGGAGGTTCAACCTTTCAAATTAATCCCATGACATGGAAGAGTTTCTAGCTACTTTATTTTAAATCAAGAAAACATACATGTAAAAATCCACAACAGTCTTAAATGCACTCTCCAGTAGTGTGTTTTGGAAGCTTTAGTCAGCAGCTGCTTCTCCTTTTTCTTTCTAATGGCTTTTTTACTTGCGACTTTTCCCTGTTGGAAGTTGGCCTATACTCTGTAAACAAATGAAATCAATGCTTAAAACACATATCTGATTATAGACATATCTTTCTAGATGTTTCCTTTAGTAGGAAATAATACTTAGTGAGCAGAGAAGAGGGCTCGGCCTGTGCTCTACAGGGCAGTCAGCTTGGAGGACAGACTGGCGCTTCTTCCAGGCCTGTCTGAGAAGGGAATCACCTGGGATGACTGCTAGCATTTTCAGACCCCACCTACACTTCACACTTGACCAAAGGAAAATCAATTGCTGGACCACATCCGTCTTTAAATAATGATGGATAAATCTTTTGTCAAGACCACAGGTCAACATGTGACTTCACATCAGGTAAGGTTGTCTTGCCTGTCCTGAGCACCCTGCCCTGAACCTATCAGGTACAATGAACTGTCCAAATTGCTTTGTCCAGTGGAATTTGGTCCAAATGGTTCCATCTTAACCAAACTTAAAACGGGCTTATGTGAAGAGTTCAAGCTCTTTTCTTTTCTCTGACCTTCATAGGCTTTTGTCATATAGTACACATTTTTAAGACAGGCCAGATAGCCTTTCCTAGAAAATTCACTATAATCAGTATAAAAAGGAATTTTTGATGGCGCTCTGATGAGATTTAAAAATTCTGCATTTGGAGAAGTGATATTGATATTGAAATGTAGTATCAATAGTTGAATTAACATTTGTATTAATATTAATAACTGTTGAGATAAATCAAATCCTTCAGTTAAAAAAAAAAAAAAAATGCTTGAAAGTCCTCTATTTCATTTAATATCCATTTTGTCCCCTGAAGCACTTTTGCTGGGTAGGTGATCCTTGGTTGTAATCTTAGCTCCTTTGCCCTCTGGAATATCATATTCTAATGTCTTACTAAGGCTTTTGTTATCCTGACTGAGGCTTTGTAATACTTGAATTGTTTCTTTCTGGCTGCTTGCAATATTTTCTCCTTGGGAGCTCTGGAATTTGGCTATAACATTTCTGGGAGTTTTCCTTTGGGGATCTCCTTCAGGAGGTGATTGGTGGACTCTTTCAATTTCTATTTTACCCTCAAGTTCAAGAATATCAGAACACTTTTCCTTGATAATTTCTTGAAAGGTGATGTCTAAGCTCTTTTTTTTTTTCAAATTGTGGTTTTCAGTTAGTCCAATAATTTTTAAATTATCTCTCCTGGATCTATTTTCCAGGTCAATTGTTTTTCCAATGAGACATTTCACATTGTCTTCCATTTCTTTTTCATTCTTTTGGTTTTGTTTTGTTGTTTCTTGATTTCTCACAAGGCCATTAGTTTCCACTCTCTCCAGTCTAAATTTTAAGAAATTATTTTGTTCAATGAGCTTTTGGACCTCCTTTTCCATTTAGACAATTCTGCTTTTTAAAGCACTCTTTTCCTCATTGGCTTTTTGTACTTCTCTTACCATTTGGCCTAGTCTGTTTTTTAAGGTGTTATTTTCTTTGGTAGTTTTTTTGTGTGTCTCCTTTACCAAGCTGTTAACTTATTTTTCATGATTTTTTTTTTGCATCGGTCTTGTCTATCTTCACAACTTTTCCTCTAACCCTTTAAGGTGTTCCATGGCCTGAGACAAATTTATATTTTTCTTGGAGGCTTTGGATGTAGGAGCTTTGATTTGTTGCCTTCTGAGTGTGTGTTTTGATCTTCCTCGTCACCACAGTAAATTTCTATAGTCAGGGTTTTTTCTAGTGTTTGTTCATTTTCCCAGCCTATTAATTTGACTTAACACTTTGTTAAAGTATGGCTTTGCTTCCAGACTGGAGCTCACACTGTCCCAAGCTTCAGGGATTTTATGAAGCTGTTTTCAGACATACTTCTGGTGATCTGTAAGTTTTCAGTTCTTCCAAGGCGGTAAAATCTAAGGAGCATTGTTTACTATACTCCTTGCCTGTGCTCTGGTCTGTGAATGACCATAAGCACTGTTTTCTGCCCTGGAACTGTGAGTGTGGTCCCCCACTTCATTGTGGCCACAAGCTCTGCTATGCTAGTACTCCTTCTCACTCTGGGACTACCACCCAGGACTGTGACCCAGATCAGAGTATGAACAAAGCAACATTGTTCTGCATCAGCAAAAAGACCCCGCTCATCTCCGTCTGACCAGTTGTTTGACCCTTTTAGTGTCCGTGGGCTGAGATCCCCGGAAGCTGTCACTGCCATTGCCACTGCTGATTCAGTCACTCCCAAGGTCTTCTCCTGGTTTACTGTGCCTGGGACCATGATGGTGGGCCTCAGATGGACTGAGGTCCACTCACACTAAGGTGTCACAGACCCTTCCTGTTGACCTTCCAAGTTGTCTTTGGTATCTGTAGGCTAAGCGATCTCAAAACCACCATTGCTCCCAGTGATTCAGTCACCCCAAGTCTTGCTCCAAAATTCTGTACCCCCTCATCTGTACCAACTGTCTTCCTGACTTCCTTTAATTCCCAGCTAGTATCCCAACATCAACAAGAAGTCTTTCTGATCCCCTTACTACTATTGCAATATATATGTAGATATAGATACACACACAAACACACACACACATATACACACACATATATACACATATATGTGTGTGTGTGTGTATATATATATATATATATATATATATATGTTTCTGAAGTTATTTGTTTTCTTCTCCTTAGACTGTGATTTATTTGACAACAGAGGCTATTTATTTTACTTTTATGTGCCCAGAGCTTAACACAATGGCTCACACATAGGTTGTGTTTAATAAATTCAAAAAAAATTATTACGTTGCCTTTATTTGACTGTTTTTGTTATTGTTGATGTTTCAGCAAGATGATCATTGTATTATGTCCATGGATTTTTCCCAGTGCTATTCTTAGATTGATAAATGATCAAAAGTTATGAGCAGTTTTCAGATGAAGAAATCAAAGCTATCTATAGTCACATGATAAAATACTCTAAATCACTATGGATTAGAGAAATGAAAATTAAAACAAATAAAAACAATTCTGAATTACCACCGCACACTTATCAGATTGGATAATAGGACAAATAAGGAAAATGACAAACGGTGGAGGGGGTGTGGGAATATTTGGACACTAATTCACTCTTGGAGGAATTCTGAACTCATCTAACTATTCTGAAGAGTAATTTGGAGCTATGTCCAAAGGGCTATAAAACTGTGACTAATACTCTGGTGTTCCAATACCACTACTAAGTATGTACACTAAAGAGACAAAAAGATAAATAAATAAAAGGAAAAAGACTATATATCAAAAAATATTTAGAGTAATTCTTTTTGTGGTGGAATATTATTGTGAAATGATGGACAGTATGCTTTCAGAAAAACCTGGAAACACATGTACTGATGCAAAGTGAAGTAAGCAGATCCAGGAGAACATTGTAACAGTAATAGTAACAGTAATATTATATAATGATATATAAATATAATGATCAACTGTGAATGACTAAGCTATTCTCAGGAATACAATAATCCAAAACAATTCCAAAGGACTCACGATAAATATATTTACCTCCAGAAAAAGAACTTATGGAATCCAAATGTAGGTCAAAATATACTGTATTTTTTTTTTTTTCTTTCTTTATATTTTTTGTTTGTTTTGTTTCATTTCTGGTCAGTATTTGCTTTCATAACATGACTAATATGGAAAAAAGTCTTTTCGTGACTGCACATTTATAATCAATGTAAAATTGCTTCCTTTCTCAATGAGTAGGGGATAGTGACAGGGTGGAAGGGAATTTGCAATTCAAAATTTTTAAAAAATGTTAAAAATTTGTCTTTTCATGAAATTAGAAAATTGTTGTAAACAATTTAAAATACTAAAAATTATAGAATTTCTTGATGGCTGTATCTGCTTATGTCCACTTTGAGCCACTCCATTGTCTTCTGTGTAATACTTATTACATTACAATGATCTCCCAGGAGGTTCTGCAATATCTTCAGACTTCATGCTCTCAGAACAACATCATCCTCAAACTGTAGTGTCTGGAATACCTTAGCCTTCACAAGGAAACTCTTTTTGGCATAAGATTCTCCACTAAATCTCCTCCATTGAAATAAACCTTTCGTAAGTGTATAGTTTTCTTCTATGATGTTTATAATCTGAGAGTGATCGATCAATTATTTCTGTTGCTACAGAAATCTTGAATGATCTTGATGTATGGATAGTTCCCAGCTTCCTCACATTACTGCCTTTTATTCCATATTTCCACTGAATTAGCAAAAATATTTAATATAATAGCTTATTTTAAAAAGTACTATTTCTTTATCTTAGTCTTTACATTTTCTTTTGAATGTACATGATATATTAGTATAGTTTAAATTTATCGTATTATAAAATGAAACTTTACCTGTAAAGTACATGATCCAAAAGTTTATAAACCAACGAATAACATTGTGAAAAAATTTCACTCCTTAAAGAGAAAAATTCAAGATGAGAAAATGACAAGGAATGGTGAAGTCCTGTTTTGTATATGTATAGTAAAATCAGCCATGGGGTCTTCAGAGAATGAATTGTTCCATACATCTGACTTCATCTGAAATCCTTATTTTCTAGATAGAGTTACACTGAAACTTTATTAATTTGGAATGTGTAATAACATGAATATGAGATAGAGAAGTTGAAAGTGTATTTTTGTACTTAACTGTAAATCATGTCTTACTAAGTACTTATTTTGGTATACAAATAATATTATATCATATATAAAAATATAGACCAATTATGGAAGAAACAAAAGTAAGTTCCAAGCAATATCTGTATACACACATGTATATTTATAAGTATATGTACATATATCTATAGATATAGATATATATCATTATATAATTTCTTTTTTAAAAAAATAATTATTTTAATTTTAAATTGCTTAGTTAGGGTGGAGTATCTATCTCTAACTATTCCTTACCTGAGCCCCGTATTTGTAGGTTAATGGTAAAATCATATCAAGCTACAAAATGGTTACCATGGTTGCCACATTGGTAGTTTTATAATGACGGTATTAAAATCTCATTGTTCCCTCTTGAAAATTTGGAGAACACTTTTGTTTACTTTAAGCTTGGCATTTTATATTTATTAATAGGAACACAAAAGACTTTAGGTTAAGTGCCTGCTTTGGAAAATCTGGTTTTGAGTTCTTTGTTATTTTTCCCTTATAGATGTCTGAAGTGATAGAAAAAAAAAGAGGTTCGGAAAATAGGTGTAATGGTATTTCTGAAACTTCTGACTACTTTCTTCAGTGGCTTATAGTGTCAGCTGCTACTTTGGCAGGTCATACCTTGGAATAGCATACATAAATACATACATACACAAATATATACATATTTTTATTTTATTACGTAAACACGTTTATATGCGCATAAATAGATGCACTTGTACATATAATGTATGCATATACATAAATGCATCTATTTGCCTATTAAATAAATGGATATATGTGTGTGTGTATATATATACTCTCATATACAAACATATACATTTGTCAGTCAATAAACTTCTATAAAGAGTCTGATCTGTGCCAGGCACTGTGCTGAGTGCTGGGAACATGAAGAAATGAATAAGACCATCCCTACCCTTCAGGAGCTCACAGTCTAATGAGAAAGACATGTAAAAAAGAAGCTGAAAAGTGGGGAGGAGGAAGTGGGAAATTATACGGAGAGGTGTGAATTTCCATGCTTATTCATCTTGCAGAGTGATGAGTTTCTGGAGATAATGAAGTCTAGGAAAGTTTGCATGTGGGAAATGATGAGGAAATTTTTCTGCATGCCTTCCTTGAATGACAGTGGTTTTAGGAGATATTCTAATATCCATCTTCCACTCTCCCCAAACAGAGGGAAGGAGGGGACCTGTGGTTAAGGAGTGCTGAGAAGGTGTGAGTTTCTGAGTTGATTTCATTTTGTGATATGATGAGCTTCTACAGCTAATATATGTCAAATGTTTGTCAATATATGTCATTTGACATATGTCAAAATGTTTTCTTTCCAATATTCTCATCTAGTATAGATCAAAAATATAATAATAAAATTTTAATACCTGGCTGTATCTGTGATTTCATTAATTTGATCAACACAGTCTGTCAGTTGTCTGTCAACACAGATTAGACTCCATCCACACCTTTTCAATCCATGTAACTCATGTCCATGTCCTCCCATGAATTTCCCATAGGAAGTCTATCTATTAGGTACATGCCACTAAATTTCTTAAAATTTTGTCTCTACCCATTCAATACATGGGCTGTCACATTGGCTAATTATAATTATTTTGTTTTAATTAATTAATTTATTTTTAGTTTACAACATTCACTTCCACAAGATTTTGAGTTCCAAATTTTCTCATCATATCTCCCCTCCTCTCACCTCGAATTGATAAAGGCTCAACATACACATTCATCTTAAACCTATTTTTACATTAGTCATGTTGTAAAGAAGATTTAAAACCAATGACAGAAACCATGAGAAAAAAATAGAAAGAGAGAGAAAGAGAGAGAGAGAAAGCAAATGATACGCTTCAATCTGCATTCAGATCCCATGGTTGTTTTTCTGGATGTGGATAGCATTTTCCATTGTTCATCTTTTGTAGTTCTCTTAGATCTTTGCATTGCTAAGAAGAGATGAGTCTATCAAACTTAGTCATCACACGTTGTGGCTGTTACTGTGTACAATGTTCTCCTGGTTCTGTTTACTTCACTCAGCATCAGTTCATTCAAGTCTGTCCAGGTTTTTCTGAAATCTGCCTACTCATCATTTCTTATAGCACTAATTATCATTCTTAATATTAAACTAGTCAGCATTTCTTGATCATTCAAGTCAAGTCAACATATGTCTTTCTGACGGCATTCATTATGTCACTTTCCTTGAAGAATTGTTCTTGGACAATATGTTTTAGTCTACTCATGACTGCCATGGACTTCTCCACAGCCATTTAATTGATCCTCAAATTTAATTATTTGGAGACATGATATCCAAGAACTTGTGCCATATGACAACAACAAATAAATCATTATTTTGGAAAGATAGACTTTTATTTCATAGAGAAATTTAGAGCAATTAGAAGTACTTTATGATTTACTAAATGAAATTCAGCCCACTCTCCTCATCATCCTCTTCAATTCTGAACTCACCTCAAAACCTATATACTGCCTTTCCAATATATAATATTAATTGAACAATTTGTGGATTACTTAATAGAATTGCATATCATAATTGGGAAATAGGCATTTTTCACCTTTTTTTTCCTGAATAGGCTATACAATAAAATATAATACAATAAACTATGTGCCAGATACTAACATAGTGCACTAACTTTGCTAGACTTATCTCTTCAATTGCTCCAGGAGACTGCTATGTAAAGCAGTCACTGAAGTCACAGGAAGCAGGCAGGGTCCTCTACAGAAGGGGCCCCCTCTTCCTGCTCTACTTAGGCTCCTGGTACTGGTGCTAGCCTGAGAAGCTGAGGAATTTCTTAAAAGTCGTCCTGACCGTAGGAAATCTCTCGTAAGATGTGGATAAGCAAATACAAGACGCGTGAAAGCCCACATTGATGACTGAAAGCATGACTTCACATGAAACATTTCTCGGCCTTTGGCAGATTTGCTGCCGTTAGTCAACAAGCACTGAGGTGTTTACTCCCTCCAGAGCCCGAGCTAAGTTTGGGGGTACAAGAGCAGGCAAAATCACAGTTCCTGCCCTCAAGGAGCTTACATTGTAATGGGGAAACAGCAACTAAATTACCCGTACACACAGCAGATGCAGAGTAAGCCGGGAAGCCAAGGGGCACAGGCAGGAGGCAGGATCTAAGCCGAGTCTTAGAGGACCGCAGGGATGTCGAGGCAGAGCAAGCCGGGCATGAAGCTCGGCTGGTGCAAAGGTGCGGCATCAGGGGCAGTGACCTGTTGAGTAGGCCGGTGGAGCCGGATCACAGAGCGCATTTAGGGGAAGCGGGCACGAGGCTGTGCTAGTCAGAGCACTCTGTGTTGGGAGGGACACCGAAGGAGAGGTTAGATTTATTCTGTTTGGCCTCAAAGAACAGAATAAGCAGCAGAGGGGAGAAGGCGCAAAGAGGTGTATTTAGGTTTGATGCCAGCAAAGCAGTCTTAGGGAAACCAAGCAAGCTATTCACAAATGGAACGGGCTTCCCCAGGGGGCTGGCGGGCTTCCCTTCCTCGGAAGTCCCAAAGCAGAGACTGGTGACTACTTGGCAAACATAGTAGAGCAGGGATTCTTTTCTGGGTACATGTTGAACTCAATGGCCATCTCTCTGATCTCTAAATTCTGTGGAACCAATTTCTCATGTGTCTCATTTTGTATTCAGCCCTGTCCCATTAAGATAAGTTCACTTTATTAACCAAATTCATACCGGCTAAGCATCTCCCAAAGAGAGCCCCAAGAAAATCACCCTGCAAGGTACAGCTAATGCAATGAGTAGCAGGATAAACAAAATCTTGCGAGGTTTGAACCCTGGGCTGAATCTAATGATGAAACTGAACTGGGGGAAATGGAGACTTCAATGGGGGTGAAAAGTTCAGATGCGCATGTGCAAGATGGAGAAGTCAGAGACGCCAGGCAGTTTGTATCAGCAGACATCAATCTGACTACGGATAAGCACTTGCGTGACATGGCACCATGACATGCTGTGGAGGCAGAGGATTCGTACTGTCCTACACTAAGATGGAGAAGGGCTCACCAGACACGTCCCAAACTCCCCTTGAACTTGTCCCCAGGTCTGGTGCCACAAGAAGGACACTGAGGGGAGCAAAACCAGAATGGGGAGTGACGGAGTCTTGACATTGGAGAAAGGGTTGAGGGAACTAGGGGTGTTAGAGCCCAGAGCTTATTTTGGAGGAAGACAGAAAAGTTCTTTTCAAGTATTTGACATCTGAATACATAGGAGACAGATTAACCTTCCGCTGCTGTTGTAACCAGACGGGAGAAGTCAGAGCAGTGAGTGAAACTCACAGAGAAAATTGGGTCACTGAAGACTAAGGAAAGATTAAGGGAATCCAAACGGGTGCAGAATGGCTCGGAGGAGTTGCCCCCTCTTCACTAGAGGCTGCAAGAAAGCCTGGATTCCCCAGCGGCAGAGTGAGCCCCATGGCTGGGCACGTGGCAGAAACTATTCCCTTAGAGCTGGCTGAGTGCCTAGCCCTGAGTGCTGAGGCCAAGGCTGTGCACAGACCTGTGATGAGCTCAGATCTTCCAAAGGAAGGGAAAGGATACACTATTTCTGTAAAGGACACCTAAACTCACCTGGGGCCTGGCTGTCAGAATCCCAGAAGTCTTTGTTTCTCTGTGCTTCTGTCCTGAAGAAGGGCAGGCTCTTGAGAAGGCTGAGCTGTGGAGAAGTGATGAAGGAGATCAGGCCTGCCTTGTAGGTTCCCACACTCCTCACCAGACACCAGACTCCCTCATCCTGAAGCCTTTCTTCCATGTCAATGATACAGTCTGGCGCACCTCTCTATCATCTTTCTCCACCACTCTCCCGGGGCTGCCAAGTGTTTTCAAACAGATTTTAAAACTGAATTGTGATGAGGTATGTGGCATATTCATGTTACTTTCAACAGGATCCTCACAACTAGTGATAACCCCTTCCCTCATCCCTGACTCCTTATCACATTCTTCACTCCATCTGTCCAAAGATTTTCCACCATCTTAAAGCCCAAATGCCCACTCCAGCCACGCTTGTTAACAAGGCTGACATCATTCAATGGGAGTTGACTCAATTTCCTTCTTTACCTTAAGAGCATTCTGTATCATGATTTTCTTTCTTGTCCACCCTGCTCATCTGAGGAGAGAGTGATCCCTTCTTCCTGTTCATCTACTATACTTGTGATAATTATTTCATTTCTCCATGCCTCTTCCAGGACCCTAAGTCTATCAGTCACCAATTCCAAAACTGAGACAGAGTTTCATTTTAGACGTTCAAATATTTGACTAACTCAGACCAAAAATTCATCATTGATGTATCAGTTTTAGCTTAAAAGGAAGATTTTCCCATGAGTGAATATGAATTCGGTGAAGGAGAGACTCTTTTATTTCTGTCTTCAAATGCCCAGAATCTAGCATGGCACTGGAGAGAGCAGATACATCATAATCTCTTGTTGACCGACTGGTTCATAATTCTAGCTGAATATCCAAAGCATTTGTCTTTGTCCATGTCAACAAGCATTTAATACTTGCCTATTATGTGCCAGGTACTGTGAATGAATGAAGGAATGAAAAGCCTTTATTAAGTATTCACTATGTGCTAAGAACTGTGGTCACAGCTGAGGGTATAAATACAACAATAAGAGTTCATTTACATTCTAAGAAGGAGAGGTAACCAGTAGACAAGGAAAGTGCTTTGGTCTGCGAAATAATGAAGATAGTGAGCTAGTTAAACAAAAGGACAATGGCCTGCCACTTTAGGCAACAGAGATACAGTAGACCTGCCCTTCCAAGTGTTTAAATTCTGTAGGAGGAAATGACGTGTACGTAAGTATATACCAAATAAATACTAGGTAATTTTAGGAGTGAGGTACTAGCAACAAGGGATGGAGAGAAGGATTCAGAATGGCCTCAGGAAGGAGGTGATGGAAACTAGTGATGCTTAATGCCCAGAACTCATTAGTTGACATTTCTATAGTGATTTTGAACAAATGTATAGAAATAATGCTTGTCAAATTAAGAGCCTAAAACATCACCACAAGTTGTGAAGTGATACAACCATTCTGGAGAACAGTTTGGAACTATGCCTAAAGAGCTATAAAACTGTGCATACCCTTTGACCCAGCAATAGCACTCCTAGGGCTGAATCGCAGAGAGATCATACAAATGGGAAAAGGACCCACATGTACAAAAATATTTATAGCAGCACTTTTTGTGGTGGCAAAGAATGGAAATTAAGGGGATGCCCATCAGTTGGGGAATGGCTGAATAAGAAAATGATGAGCAGGCTGATTTCAGAAAAACCTGGAAAGATTTACAGGAATTGATGCAAAGTGAAATGAGCAGAACCAGGAGAACACTGTACACAGTAACAGCAACACTGTGTGATGATCAGCGATGAATGACTTAGCTCTGCTCAGCAATACAGTGATCCAAGACAATTCCAAAGAACTTATGAAGAAAAATGTTATTCATTAATGGACTTGGAATACAACTTGAAATATGCTATTTTCACTTGCTTTATTTTTTGTATGCTTTTTCCCCCCTTTTGTTCTGTTTCTTCCTATACAAACTAATTAATATGGAAATATGTTTTAGATGATTGCTCATATATAACCTATATGGAATTGCTTATCATGTTAGAGAGGAGGGAAGTGAGGAAGTGAGAGAGAAAATTTGTGATTCAAAATTTTGTTTTGAAACTGAATGTTAAAATTCTTTACATGTAATTGGAAAAAAATACTACTTAAAAGAAAAAAAAAGTTAGTCATCACACAACTTGGCTGTTACTGTGTACAACATTCTCCTCCAATAAAACCACTTTAAAAAACACTCTCTCCCTCTGTCTGTGTGTGTGTTTGTGTGTGTGTGTGTGTGTGTGTGTGAGAAAGAGAGAGAGAGAGAGAGAGAGAGAGAGAGAGAGAGAGAGAGAGAGAGAGAGAGAGAGAGAGAGATTTTCTCTCCTTTATTGGGAAAGGACAGGGGGAGAATATTAGCTATAAATTATGGAGGTAGTCTAAAAACAATTGCTCAAGTCTTTTACTTTAGAGACTTTCAAAGAATCTATTTTTTCACATGGATTTATTTTATTCTTTCTTCTCATAGGCTTTCTGAATCATTAAGTTACTAATGGGAAATAGCTTCAACACACACACACAACACACAAACACACACACGGAGGGGAGAAAAAGAGAGAAAGAACACAAGTTAATTTTGGTAGTTTTGAGATTATGAAATGAGTATTATATGATTAAGAAGAGTAGTTCCAGTTGGGTATTTAATCCATAACAGTTTATTAGCTTAATATGGAACTCTAAGTATTTGAAGAATCAAAGCTAATTTTCTTTCTTTTTCTTTTCAACTAAGTTATGTGTGCCTTGTCTTTTAGTTTCTACAAGGCAAAGAGAATTCGTTATAGAAAACAGAAACTACTTTGAGTTTTTTGTATTTTGGTGATAGTAGTATTTCAAGTTACTATGGACAACGTGATTATTGCAACCTATGGTTAATTCAACATTTTTCTCTGCAGTGACTAATGTGTCTAACTAGTTGGTAGTTAAAGCAGCTGAATTCAGGAATACTTAATTTTTGATTGTTCTGGAGTTCTTTTCTGTTCTGTTTTGTTTTGTTTTGTTTTTACTTTTCTTTGCAATAAAGCATCACATCTTTTGTTGCGAAGATGCTTTTTTTTAATTAAGCCTTTACTTACTCACATACTAAAAAAAATCTTTTAATGTTAATACTCTAAGGCATACATTAATCAAATTAGAAATTAATTTGATAATTATCAAACTGAGAGGTTTTCTATTTTTTCTTTTCAGACAACCTGAGAGTGAAATAAGAAATCATACAAATTAACAAAGAAACTTTCTAAATTTGTATTCTTTTTTTTTAAATGGGAAATTTTGCCATTGAAGCCATTGCAAAGCAATTGCAAATAAATTTCAATTAACTTTGCCTTTGTGGTAAATCATCCTTTTAATGTAATTTTCTAATTAGCTTTTCTTTAGATACAGTTTGAGAACAAGATAAAAAAAATATCTCACAGGCATTCTGTGAAGAATTGGTTTCCATACTATTTGCAACATGGAGTTTTCAATATAGGGTTTTGTGCATTTAAGTAAGCCATCTGTCATGTCAAGTATTCTTGCTGTTGTTTCTGGGTTAAAATAAAATTTAAACTTCTTCTGCTAGGAAAATTCAAGTGCTTTTATTAAAGGATAAAGAAAAAGAAATAAATTAGTTCATTTTATATTCCCAAAAATTGTGTAGTCTAAAACAATTGTTCAAATCTTTTGCTTTAGAGACTTCCAAAGAATCTATTTTTCCACATGGATTTATTTTATTCTTTCTTCTCATAGGCTTTCTGAATCATTAAATTACTAATGGGAAATAGTTTCAACAAACATTGTAGTTTGCATTCATTTTTACTTTCAGTTTTATAAGGTAAAAGCAAAGTTACAACCATAGGAACTCTGGGGAACTCTTCCTAATCAAATTACTAGTATAAAGTACATTTCTTTATAAAAAAAAAAACCCTGATATTCATGTAAGTATATTGTGAGTTGGGAAAACACAAAATTACCATCTAGTGACTGTTTGTACTATATTGCCAAGTTGTAATCTATTCCTTCTCCATTGCTTATAACAGTTACAAGCCAAAATACAGAAAAGGTACAGATGACACCCTTCTACTGATATATTTGAGTTTATTTTAGTAGATCATTATATCTTTAAAAAGCTGACATAAAATAGTAAGGTGAGAAAGTTAGCACAGACGGAAATTTTGTGACTAGGCAAATTCAAAAGATTTATAACCAGTCCTGATTTATAAAATTTTGCAAGATTGCATTTCCAGCATACTGAAAAGTGCGCTAAATGTGGAATTAAAGGACCTACCTTTGTTTGAGTTCTGGTCCTTTGTGACCTTTGGTAAAAGATAACCTCACTGGGCCTCAGTTGCCTCATCTGCAAAATGTGCAGATTAGACTAGATCAGGAGTTGTTGGCCTTTTGTATCATAGACTCTTTTGGAATTATGCTTAACCTGTGGACACTTTCAGAGAATACTTTTTTTGATGTACAAGATACAACTTCTTTAATGTCATTGTTACCAAAAGACTGGCCAACAAGATCCAAATCCTTTTGAACATGAGTAGTATGCTTTGCCAGCTTTCAGCCCACTTGGAAAAGGCTAGTGAGACTTTCTGAAAAGGTACTGCTCTCCAATTCAGGAAATGCACAGCTAATCTGATTATTTGGGCTATACTGTCCTTTCTCTATTGTACTGTCCATTTGGTAAAGAGGAGCTTTTGGGTGGCTGCTGCACTGAAACTAGAAGGCAGGCAAGAGTAATTCATGCCTGTTTTTGGTTTGTTTGGGTTTTTTTTGTATGATTGACTTCAAATAAGAAGTGCCATATGGTTCTATGAAGGGATAGAAGTATTGGGCTTTTATCTTCTCATTTCAGTTACCATCATGCAGACCAATCACGAGCACTACTACAAACTTGGTTTTGTCGATTTTTTTTTCCTGCTCCTAGGTTAAAGAATAGAGGCATAGACTTGAACCTTGCATGTTCAGTGCTAGATTTTTTAGAGAAGACAAGGAAGAGAAGTCCACTGAGAAATAAATCCAGAGCCACCTACTAAATGAAAAAAGGAGATGAATCAAAGGCAGTCAAGAGAGT